TCGGGTTCTTTGAAAACACACCGTGGACGTGGACGGTCGAGGAGAAGAAAGCAGAGTAGCCAGCAAATGGCGCAACTACGTTGTGGTCCATGGCTTCATTGATGAGGATGGAGATTTGGTTCGCGGCGTCTAATGCGGTGCGTGCCGAGTCGGTGAGGAAATCGTGAGGCATTTCTTTTGGCGGGCGGCTCCCAGCTCGCGAAGGGAGAGAAAATCGATGCAAGAAGAGTATAATTTGTTGGTAGAGGATGTGTAAGTAGAGGTAAGAATTCGCCGTCCTGCCTATTGCGTGGCTCTTCAGATTCTCTGGGCTGTAGACCAGCATTTCTGGCAAAGCGTCCTTGAATTCCTTGGCCTCCCGTTTGATTACGTGGAACGTGGACTTTGCTGACCACATGGGCTCGGGCTCTCGTTCCTTGCCGCCCAGATTCATGTATTTGATGAGCTTGCCCCAAATGCACACGAGCCGAATCGTGTATGCTGTCACGCCCATGTTCTCGTGAGGGTCTGATAATTGACCGCTATTTGGTGCGACTGGATTCGGTACGTTGCCGTCCAAGCTCTCCGTTGGCGCCTGGATTTCGTGCATGTAAAGATGCTCCTTGACGGGCAGTTGAACCTGGATATATTGTTCGTTGACGAACAGTGGCCGATCCGTGCCGGAGGAATTGAAGCGATCCATGAGGAAACACGACCACATGGTCCGCCGACGGATCTCGCGATCCGTGAGACTGAGCGGTTTTCGATCTATTTCGGGCACACTCGGATCGTACTCCAACTCCTTGTGAAGTTGCAGAGCATAAGCCATTCGCTGGGCCATGCCGCCAAACATCCAGCTTCGACCACCCTGGCACGTACCAAACTCGTGCAAACCGAGCAGCAAGTAAACAATCAGGATGGTGATGTTCGGCGCATCGAACCGTTTGAGCGCAATCTCCCTCGCCTTCTCGGCCCAACTGTCGCCGCGAAGAAAGCATGGCTCCTGCCGCAGCTGTGGATGTGTCGAGAAACGTGCTGATATTGCGCAAATGGCCAGGATGAGTACTGGCGGCACGTCTCCCTTTGCAAGCCTCCGCAGAAAGCTGGGTTTGTGCAGAAGCGGATAGCTCTGGCCGTAGACATAGTCGAAGTACACTTCGGCGAGGTGCTCCTGGATCTCTTTCGGTGGCAGGCTCTCGAGGCCCTCGGTGAGTAGACTGGTGTCGTCTGCCTCCTTCGTCCGTGACGCTGAGCCCGATACATCGGGGTTGGCTGACTTGGACTTTGCCCATTCGTCCAGGTCGTTGCCAAAGGCTTCCTCGGCGCCTCTCTTCTTGGTGGCGGTGGGTGTTTTGGGCAGCGCGCCCGGCAGTGCAGGCTTGACGACTGAGCGTCCAACACCGGCCACCAAGGGCAGGCTCTCCTTGGGTATGAGCTTGATGACGCGGTCCTCCATGCGCCGCAGCCGCTTGTCGAGCATGGCCATGTAGTCGGTCCTGGGTGCCGCCTTCCTCGTCGTGACTTTGTACACACACGGGATGCGACTTCTCAAACAGTGCTTGCACGCTGGCTTCTCGCCTGAACACCGAATCTTCTTCCGCCGGCACGCGATGCACGCTAGCGGTAGCCGTTTTCTCTCCTTGCCCGCCTTGGTCTTCATTTCGCTCCACGGCGGCGGGTCTTGTCCGTCCTTGTCCTTCAGCGAGCCGTCGACGCCTTCCCTCAGCACGCCGTCTTCCAGCTTCATTGCCACTGTCGATCCGTCCTCGATGGTGTCCCCAAACAGCAGGCCCAGGCCAGCCGCGCTTTCCGGGCTGGTGTGGCTTCCATCGCGGCCCAGGTGACCAGCACTGCCAATGCTCAGGCGGTGTGGATGTGCGCTGCCACCGCTCACGTTTCCTTCGTCCATGTTCACTATGCTCCCTCTGTGAATCGGGAGCTTTGTCTGGAGGTTCGTGTGCGGTAGATCGTAACTGCTGCTGCCGAACCCTTGGCCGTGTCCAAAAGCCATGGGGAAGTCGGAGAAGGACGCCATTGGGTCTCGAAGCTCGGAAAGTCCGTACTCGTCGTGTTCAAATAGCGAAGGTTGCGGTGCGGTCATTGTCGTCGCAATCGTGCCGGAATCGCCCATTGCCTCGCCGCGCGCTGCGTCTTCTGTGTCGCGGACCGATTTTGCCTCTCACATGGAATTAAAAAAACCCTAGACACAATACGATCTTTCTGTCTTTCAGCGTCAAGCTCACGGGTATCCAGTAGCCCTCCCTCTGAATGAGGTAGTCGTGTGCTGTGTTTGCGGGTTCGCCCTGAGAACTTTCCGAACCCTTCCCCACAATCCAGCGCTGGAGCCAAAGGGCCGATATGTCTAGCTGGACTGATGGAACGAGGCCAAGCCGTAGAGAACACGCAGAGAAGTCTCAGCTGTCAGCGCCTCTACTCGCCTGGGTGCAAGTGAGACGGACTCTATGACCAGCAGTGATGTAGCAGCACCAGACGCCACCACCCGCGGCCTGTCACTGCGCATACGACCGGGCACCGCAGAAGGCTTGCAGAGACCTCGTAATGCCCACAACAGGATTCGCGACAGGAGCCAAACAGTTGCACCTCGGCCCGATCCAACCACGGGACACACAATGGTCGATGCAGCCCCCCACCTCGCCCATGCCTGCAGATTCGCGACCGCATTGTATTATTAAGACACGACAAAGCAGTACTGCCGACGGCCAGAACAGCTTGGACCCAAGTATTTATTACGCCCAGCGTGCATCCTAGCATCCGCATGTTTCCACGCTGTCTGGTATGCGTTGCCATGTGGTTCGATTTTCTGGATGGTGTGGAAAGAGATTGCACGTCACGCCCGTGCGAGCATGCGAGGATACGCGACTCAGCGGGGAATGTGCTTTTGCGGGGCTCCGCTGCTCCTACTTCGCGTAGCTCTCCCGTGCATATGAACTCTATCAACAACAATATCCTCCGAGCGAGCACGCCGCTTCTGCCATGCATCACCGCGCCGATCACCTATTAAGACGCCATGGTCTTCTGCCTTGACGTCCTCATGATGCTTCAACCAGGGCGAAGACAAACGAGTCGATCAATACAACGTCTCTAGTCAGACCGAGCGCAACGGCGATGCTATTGTCAGCATTCAGTTCTCTCGAATCGAGAGTCCCTCTCTGATTGGATCGTATGCACTCGAACGCTGTCGGGCGCCAGGCACACACTTGCACAAAGAACTAGACCGGCTTTACTTCCGTTGTCGTGCTTTCGAATAAACCTCGTGGAGGCCGAGGAGGTCGAGTCGTCGGAACCCGCTGTTTCATCTCAGCTGCAGAGAGTTATCATCTCACTGTGTAGAGTAAACTTGGCAGATTTAGCCACAATATCTTCCTTCGTCCAACCAGCATCCGTTCTATTGCGCCGGACCGTTGCACGCCAAAGCACTTGTAGGACACATTGGAACGCACAAAACTATAAAAGACTGTATACAAATTACATACAACCACCGGTTTCTTTTGGCCACGCATTCATCGAAGCGATCTTCTGCAGCCTACCCGCCAACGCACGGCTTTGGCCCCTTCGTCCGCGCCTGCAGTGCGGAACTACGCGGGAACGGCTAGGGGTGCTTGTCAGATCTTGGTAAGCGACCTCAGACGGGCTCAGGCGCAGGCTGCTTGAATTTATGGATAGTGAGCGTTTGGGACCTTCTTGACGCTTGTACCGCTGTGCGGTGTACTATCACGGCCTGGCTGACTGTAGCTCTCATCTATCTTATCGAGCGTGCTGCAAGGCCGAGTGTCAGATCTACACGACTCTGCATGTGCGCTTAGCACATCCTCGGTTCTAGTCGTGCTCAACGTCCGCTATACATCCGGTGTGTGGCGTGGTTTAATTGCACTGTATCACAGACGTACGCTCTGCCCAAAACTCCCAGATCATTTGGGATCCTGCAATATATTCGTCCACGTTTCCCCACAATCCCGCATTCCCCGCACTCACGGCGTGCCAGCATTTCTTAAGGTATATGCTTTAGATAGGGCGAAGTTGGCCATGTGGGCGTCGCTGCAGATCCGGGTTACCTCATATGCAATCGTTCCAAATGGACTTGCTCAATTTCGCAACCTCTGACTGGAGTGGCGCAAAGTATAATATAATAGCTATAGAACCGGTAGCAACTATCACGCCTACTAGTTCAACCACGAAATCCTCTGTAGAGGGCGCTAACGGCAAGGTGCACAGCTCATCGACTTGTTCTGCAATGCACATCTGTACATATATTCAAAGCTGAGCGAATACTTCCACATACGACCATTGGATCTTGAGAACAAGGCTTCCCGTTCGCTCAGCCCTCTTTAAGCAAGATGCCGGTGGGCAAGTAGCTAAGTTCGTGAGAATTAGCGAATCCCCGCTGTTGTATGTTTTTTTGGCTATTTTTGCTGCTGTGGATCCGGTATAAGTTGGGAGCGATGTGGGTCGGGTTAGGGTGGTGGGTGACCATCGGCGGCTTGGCCAGATCTATAAATGTTTGGGAGACTGCTATGGGCTGTTCTTCTGTAGTGCGAGAATATCTGTCTGTTTATGTGGTTGGATTTTTTATTTTATTTTTTTCACTTCTGTTGTTAGGACGTGAGTTGCGTTTGGGAGGTGGAGGGTCTGTGTAGATGGAAAGGTGCTGCCGACTGTACTATGTAGTTAGGAAGATAGGCTTACCATCACAAATGACACTGGTTATTTGTGAAGAAGCATTGCTTTCGAGCCCTTTAAAACGGACCAGTGTGCCTAAAAGACAAAATTCCCCATCCTCCAATAGATGCTTGAAGCGCCGCCAGATTCAAAAGTGGGTACATAGTCTCCACTCCACAAGCGCAACTACCCCACCGTAGTCCAGCCCCGCACACACACACAAATCATGCTATCCTATACATCCTCGCAGCCTTCTCCTGCTTATACAAATATTACTGCATCTAGTCTATATAATAATAATTTTGTTTCACGTGATTATAATCCTTCCCAGGTTGAAGGGTGAGGGCAACGTGGCGGAGTGGTTATCGCGCAGCACTCGAATCTTCTTAGACTCGCTATGCTGTTCCTTCGGGAGCGCATGTTCGAATCATGCCGTTGTCGTCCTTGTATCTATCTTGTCTCCATGGAACTGATGGAAATTGGATTTTTGCGCTTTGTGCATTAGGTGAGGTGAGGAAGGGGCTTTTTTTTTGTGGTGGGAGGGTGTGCGAGAGGCACTTAAGAAGTTCCTACCTTGTCTCATTTGGTTAAAAAGGCTTAAGGGGATTGTGTACAGGCTTAATGGCAATACGTGCTACGTGCAGAGAAAATCCGGGCAGTCTAATGTAATTTTTTTTAAGTTTCGGCAATTCTGTATTCGTGGTCTGTATTACTTTTGGAGAAAGTGCTAAGCCGGTGCATCCCGCAAGTTTCTCTTTCGCCTCTAAGAAAACAGTTTGTCCCTAGACGGATGGCGAAGACCGGGAAAGAGAATAAAGAAACAGATAGCGAAACTTAAAGCTAGAACAGCGGCGGAGGGCCATGAACGAAAGCGTTAAGCCGAAGAAGGTGAGCGTGAACGCAAACCTGAAGACTAAAAACAGGAGCGTAACGTCCAAGCACGCCAGTGCAATAGACAGGAACGCACCGACAACCTCTCGCGCGAATGGACCTGCTGCAAACCACGGAACATGGCCGTTTCAACACACATCCAATGCATCGCAAATTTCGGTGCCAATGCGGCTCGTGCAACCACAAGCCTTGCAAATATAAACCTGAGGGGAGAGATTTTGGTGCAGCAAGTTTGTAGCGAATGCGAGAACGTTGTCGTTGTGCCGCCTGACTCTGTCTACCTCGTGAGTTACATCCGGAACGAGGCCCTCCATAATATTGTTAAGAATTTCCCTTCAGGATGGTAGTGCACGAAGTGGTTTTGGGCGTCGAGTGATTCGTTTTATTGGCTAAAGCAGTGGGATACAATTAAGTGTGGAGAGTGTTATGGTGATTGCAATACGGGTGAAGAGGATGAGGGGTTGGTGGGGACGTCTAAGGATGGTGATGACGGCGAGGGCAAAGTTAGGATAAATAAGGAGGCGGGAAGCTATCAAGAGGCGTTCTTAAAGGAGGAAGACTGTGAGAAGGAAGATTATTGCTAAGAGGATTGTGAGAAAGATTTTGCAAATGATATGAGTCAAAGCGTAGAAGATAATGGAGAAGATTTAGGGGAAGATTGCAGTGACCATGACGACTATTAGATTTAGGCTCAGCTTGGTGAGGGATACTCCAGTATAGCATTGGGACAATCCTCTCTATCGAAAGAACACAATCTAAGGTAAGTTCAATCAATGCAAGTTATTTTTATCCTTTGTTAGCCCTAAAGTCAAAACAACTAAACGGATCAACAGTACCTTACTAGGTTGCATGTTACAAGATAAGTGTGCTTCAAAATCCCTATCCAGCTTCAGATGTATGTTGGTAGAGTACGTGAATTTGCGAGTAGCCTGGTGGATCTTGCTTTGTTGCACAACGCTGAGGTTGCAAGGCTGATAGGAAGCGCGGCTTTGATTGGCGAGACTGGTCTGCCTGAAGTTGCCACCTCATGTGCTCTTCAAAACCTCTCGTATTGATGACCAATCAGACAGTCAATGTTTCTGCGCATTCCAGTCTATCTGGAAGATGTATTGGCTTTGCATGCTTGGTCAGGGATTGGCGCAGAGTCTACCAATCATCCGACTATGCCCAGGTAAGACCGGTCAAGCAAGCGCATGCGCAACCACCCAACTTTGGGGACAGAATTGCTCTTTTAGGATCTTTACCAAGGGATGGGCCGCAAATCTTTGACATATCATCTTGGGGGGCCGGTTGCAACTCTATTTAAAGCTTGAATGGGAGCCTTCCGTTTGCCTACAACTACATCCAAACCTACCGGGCGCCCGCTTATCACAATTGATACGTAGCCTTCTTCCTCGCATTCGATACCTCCATTCGAGGTCATGGCACAAGCGACAATGAATTTCAACGTGTACAACACTGAGCAGATCGTCAGGACTAGCGGAATTTTAGATGTCGCTCTACAGAACATTGAATTGTTCTTGCGCCAGCAGAACTGCAGTGCGAGACTGTCGGGCCTCTCCGCAAATGTCCAGGACTTGCGTGAGATCAAATACTCTTATAAGCACGTTTGGATGCTGTCTACATAGTCGTTGAAGCGTCATGAATAGCATAGATACATGCAAGATATCGATCTTCCTTGGTGACATTATACCATCTTTGATAGCGGCACCAACGTAAAAACACTGAACCACTGGAGGCACTCTTCAGGCAGGTTGTTTCACACATGCTAGGTAGCAGCGTCTGGGGTGATATTTAAGTGCTTCGGCGAGTTGTTGGGGATGGGAACGGTAGAAATGCGCGTGCAGAGCTTTCCCACTAGAGGCACAGTGCTGGCCGCTGCACGATGGGCGCCAAATTCTGACTGCTCAATCAGCTATCAAAGAAACTTTCAAAGAAACCTTAGCCAGACGCCGTTATCTGCCTGAATACATGCCTGTTTTCCGGCTTCACTTCAACCCGCATCTCGACATCCTGCTTCATTTGAACATTGGCTAACCTAATCTGGACGTTATGTGATTTTTAGCGCGCCGCGCTTTAGCGAGCTTAGCAAAAGTATATCAATCCGGCCACCTAACCAAGTCACGACCTCTCCACTCTCACTCGACCAGCCTTTCCAGCTAACAGCTCAGCTTCCACTCACTTCAGATGATCTTGACATCACCTCACTTCATTCTCACCTCAACATGACTTGACCTTACTTCGCTTCATAACCTTTATCGACCTTCATCAACCTCAACCGCTTGCGTATACGGTACCCGTCTTCGACATCTTTCGGTATGCACGGCTTGCGCAAGAGGTGGAGTATCTGGTTTGGTATAGTGGCTAACAGAATAGGAGGCGGACGCTTGGTCTCTGGCAACTTGCGGCGACTGTTTACGCCTCACATTGGCTGGGACTTGCCTGTGGATCGCAAGGTCTGTGAGTCCCGGTTCACCGGTCTGGAAGCACATCAAGTCCTCGTTCGTGGTCAGTACTGCAGCCTGTGTGGAATCTGAGGCGCTCCATCGCTGGCCTAGCTGTTCAGGAAACTCCCCGACGTTGGGCAGTTGTTAGTGCCCGCGGTCTCTAAGTGTGTGCCTAGTCCTGCTATGGTATACTGCGGCTTTGTGACGGTATGGGAGGACGGGCTGGGAATGGGTGGTTGGTCTTGGGCATGGGCTGGTGGTTGGTGGTTGGTGAAGGGTTTGGTGGGCTAGGAATACATAGACATCAATGACAACACTCGCAAAGAGTTTCACATCATCATCGTCTTCTTGTCTTCTTGCCTGCCTTGTCGTGATGTTCTTCCATGGTGTTCCTTAGTCATGTTCCTGCCCGCCCGCGCAGCTTGGAGGCACGCCGCGCGCTGCTACTCTACGTTGCCCGTTAACCTACTGAAGCCCACCACAGTCAAACTCTGGCTTGCGACGTCAACTATGCCTCTGGAGTCTTCTTGTCCTCCTCGCCCATCTACCGCCATGCTTGCGCGCTCCATCGTGCCCGCCTGTCACTTGCTGCAGTAGCCATGTTTTCGCCTGGATCCTCTGCCCGCTCGTCGCCCACTGTGACGCTCATCACCCACGCCATGAGCAAAGTCCGTCAATAACACGCGTCCGCCGCTGAGACACCCGTGCTCTACAACCGCCCCGCAACCCCAGGCCGCACGCGGAGCCGCGCAATCACTTGCTCAAAGTCCGAGAACACGCGCCAGTCGCCACTTTCTGTCGCCTTCTCTAGGCAGCAGCGCGCGCGCAAGGCAGCGATTTCGGTTTACTGTGAAGTGGGGTATTGAGTGACGCGCTGAGAAGTACCGCGGCGTCCACCGCGTTAGCGACAGTCTTTAGAGTATGGAGAGCTGCGCAAGGTCTTCTTCGAAGCTGGTTACGAGACTCTCCTCTGCTGGAATGAATTCCTCCACTGGCATAAGGTCATCGAGTGGATTTGTGAGATCTTCGACTTCGATCTCCACCGATGAAATGTCTTGCTGTTGGTCTTTGATTGAAGAGACAAATGGGGCGACGAAACGGTATTTGCCACTGACGTTGAGCTTGCGAAAGATGCGTAGTTGGATATGACGTCGCTCGGTTGGCTGGCGTAGCCACGCATACATCGCTTCAGGCGCGTGACAGTGAATTTCAAGAGATTCCATGTTCGGTATGATGTGCGGCCATGCGTGTATGTAATGCTGGAGCGTAGGTAGTACGTGAGGCTCCTCGCTCCGGTCGCACAGTAAGACCAGCTCTTGCAAGCTAATGGGGAACCTCTCGCGCATGCGATCATCTGACAACGACTGTGACTCGTCCGTATAATCACTAAAGCCGAGAAATCCTGAAATAGGAATTTTGAGGAGCCTCAGGTTGTATAATCCGCGGAAGTCGAGGGGTTTACCATGAGTGCGGTGTCCGTTGTACTTGTCGCCAATGTGCAGCGCAGTCAAGCTATCCGCATGTATAGACAAAGCTAATACTACAGCGTTGTAGAGACTTGGGTTTTCGGGCACCATCCAATCGCTGTGATCAAAGGCAAATGTGCGGAGAGTCTGTTTGCCACAGGTTTGCATCAGCAGAGTGCGAGTACAATTTCGGTTACTTACGGCGCAACTTCCAATCATCTGCAAAACTGTTGGAAACAAGGGGCCAGCATGAAAGATTTCCAAGTGTTCGACCGAACCGACAGTACTTTGCGCCGACCCTGCACAATAGGCCGAAATGGCGGAGGCGGCGTCAGCTAAGTACGCCACTCCATCGTCATCATAAATATTCCATCCCTCCCTGGAACTGTAGAAACCATAGAAAAGGACGCTTTTCAGGTTTGGGAGCTGTAAAAAAGGAAAACAACTTTCTCTATCACTTTCCGCACTCAGGAGTGCTAGCTCTCTGAGTTTCAGCAAGGCCCCAGGAGATTGGTTTGAAATGCGTTTCATCAGCCACAGCCAGTATTTTCCAGACCGAGGAGGCGCAATGGTATTAAGGGTACGCAGGTTTGGAGAAATAAGCAGCAAGATAACGACCAAGGCTTCTTCCCTCTCC